AAGGGACATTTCCAAGAAAGTACTTCTTGCTATAACGCAATAGATTTGCAGGAGTCTTAAAGTGTGCATACACCATTCCTCACACCACTTCTAAAATCCACTGTGGCGTCATATTTTTAGGTTCAAAATATCCTTCCTGGAAGAGTTAATGTTGCACCAGTGAGCTTTTTCTGAAAGATGAGGTAAGAGGCATGTCACTGCATGGGTTAATGCATGGCCACTTTCTGTAGTGTGAAAACTGACACTATCAGCGAAGATACTACATATTCCACAAGCCCTGGGTCTAGCATGCTAGTGCTCTGGAGGTGAGAGCTACACAGTAATTAGATCTGACACAGACACAAGCAGACAGAGCATTCAAAGACAAACAGAGAGTTTTTTTTCTTTTTCATTACCAGTGCCACATTTGTGATGTGACACAGAGCCAATGGCAATGCATGCATTGGACTCTGAGTGACTCCGGAAAAGAAATGGACTTGTCCATTGTGGAATAGGGACAGGCTAGCTGTAGCAATACATAGGCATAGGGGAATCGATCAGAATAGCATCAGAAAACCACTATATGTGGGCCCATCATTACAAGGTAAGGCAAACAAATAGCACAGAGACTATAACTACACTAGTACCTAGATAAAACAAAGAAAACACTTGAAAATGTACAATACCTTTTTATAATGCTGATTCCCCAAGATTATATCAGTCTTCCTAGCACAGATGGTCAGTGATCTCCTCCCCACATAACTGGAGACATGTGGAGCTTAGCAGATACCGTATCTGGCACTTAGGGTACAAGACTTCCAGGTTACATAATCAGGACTATGTTCACTTTGTTCACTTTGAAAGGCATTTTTTCCTTATCTTAGTGAATGAAATTAAGCTTTTCTGACTCCCATCATTCAATATTGTGCAAAAAAAATCTTGCTTTTCCTTGCACTCATTTGAGTATTCTATGCAAAGTGAGCTTTCACCACATTCACTAAGCTAAGAGAAAATTCCCTTGTGAAGTGAAAAGTGAACATTTTATTTGCATTAGGTAAATCAATCCCACTGTTTGCTAAAATGTGTCTTTAAGATTATTTGCAATATCCCCAATCTTTCTTATTCAGGAATGGGCAGATTATTGTTAGTATATGTAAAGGTGGAGAAAAAATGGACCCAAATTCTCTTCAAGAGTAACCACTCCAGGAGGAGTAAACCAGTCCAGAACAAAATTACTTAACCACTTGCCCTTCAGAGGATTTACCCCCCTTCCTGACCAAGCCATTTTTTGCGTTACAGCACTGCATTGCTTTAACTGACAATTGCACGTGCATGCAATGCTGCACTCAATGAAATTTACATCCTTTTTTCCCCACAAATAGAGCTTTCTTTCAGTGATATTTGATCACCTGTGTGTTTTTTATTTTTTGTGCTATAAACAAAAAAACACTGACAATTTTGATAAAAAACAATATTTTTTACTTTTTGCTATTACACATGTCCAATAAAAAAAAATTAAAAATCACATTTCGTCATAAATTTAGGCCAAAAGTATTCTGCTACATGTCTTTGCTAAAAAAAAAATCCCAATACGTGTATATTATTTGTTTTACGTGAAAGTTATAGCATTTACAAATGGCGGCATATATACTGGAATTTTTTTTTCTTACTAGTAATGGCGGCGATCAGCGACTTATAGCGGAACTGGGGCGGGCATTCTGACACTGCGGGGAACTGACGTGATGTCACTGACATCCCCAGTGACACCAATACAATGACCAGTGCTAATAGAAAGCACTGACACTGTACTAATGGAACTGGGCAGGAAGGGGTTAACATGTGGGGTTAACTGTGTGCTGTGTGTTATTTTACTATGAGGCTGTGTGCTGTAAGCACATTGCTTTGTATGGCTCTGCTGAGCCATACAAAGCAGTGTGCAGGACCTAACGGGAGAGATCTGTGTTGTTTATACACAGGTCTCTCCCTGTCGGAGATACTCGGCGATCACCGCATGCCAGCGAGAAATCACTGGCTAGGACCCGGTGATTGACAGCCAAGGCCACGATTGGCGGTGCGGGTAGAGCGCACGCGCCCCCCTACCCGGAACTGCAAAATCACATATATATAAGTGATTTTGCGCACCCATGCTGCTCTGTAGCAGTATTTCTGCTATAGGGCAGTGTGGAAGCGGGTAAAAGCTAATTAGCAGAGCCTTCCACTGCAGTTGCCTTCCTCCTGAATCTGATTGTAATAAATTAATGTAAGGTAGCTATGTGTTACTGCACATCACAACTGCTTTGCATACTGACTTAACAAATAGGATTTTGAAAATATCAAAAATAGGTAAGGCTTCTCTAGAAGGGTAATGAGGAGATGGATTAAATAGCAGAAATAGTGCAGTTGGCATACAAAGCAATCGACAATAACACAGAGCCCAAACCAAAAGAACACCAGCCACCCAGGTCAGCTTAAACATTAACAATGCCAGGCAAATTGCAGCAGTGAGCAGTGGTAAAGCAAGACCTATGAACCCCCAAAACTATACTACTCAAATGCACAAGAGGCTGCCACGCTAGGCTTAATGCTGCTTAACGGACACCATCAGGTGGTCCAGAGTAATCAACAGAAGGCAGTATGTGGGCATGTTAAGTAATTCTGTGGCAGTCCTTAAGTTGTTTCTTCTGCCAGCTACCGTTGGTACTGTTAAAAGCATTGGTGCAATTTAAGACCGTTTAACAAGCCTGCATTCAGTTGAGCTCCGTTAGAGAGGTGATAAAGTCTTTGGCTCAGTCGTAAAATGATTGTGGGAACAGGGATTGGATAAAGCCAAGTCGGGTGCAAAAGTAGTTCAATGAAACAGGGAATTCTTGAGTATGAGCATAGTACAATGTCCTACTGAGTACTATATATAGTGGATCTAAATACAGTTATAAAGGTTATAGTGGTTTCTTAATAGCTCAGTTTCTGCAGACAGTGTTGATAGCAGACCAACTGCTCTCTAACCAGTCCTGCAACTCAGCTATAGGTAATAGAAGTTACCTTGGTATCTTCCTAAAATCTCTGGCAGACAGCACTGTAGAAGATGATGAGTGGTCTCTCCAACCCTTCTAGAGTGGTGATGTGGATGGTGAAAAGATTTTGATCTGCAATGGCTTTGGTCGTGGGCTTCCTCTTTGACCCTTGGTCCCGAAGAGCTGGAAGCACTGATACAGAGGTTCTTACTCTCTGTCTTCCAGGTACCAAAATCCCAAGATCGCCTAGGCAGTCTTGTAAAAATCTTTTTTGCCACTCTCCCTAAGTCTCTTGGCTCATTGGGGACTGTAGTATTTTTCCTACTTCATATAGTACAGTAAAATAACTCCTCCAGGGGACTACATGTCTGTGTATCTTTCCACAGCCACTTTTGGGTTTAGGAAAGGGAATATTGGGAGTAAAAGTAAGGAAACAATCATACATACACAGAGGCCCCCAGCTCTCTGTTGTTGAGCCATTCCAAAGTCAGTCAGGGACCAAGCTGCCAGGACATGGCTACACTTCTTTCTCCTTTACCCTCCACACCTGTATCGTTACAGTATGATGACATACCCAAAAACTTTACATACCCAGTGGCAGCTATGTTTGCAAGACAGCAAAGTTTGAGTTGCCTCTAGCCTGGACAGGTAATGTAGGCAATACTAGTCTTGCAAGGTGCTTTTGGTTTCATTTACATTTTGTGTAGTGACTGGGTTGCTATAGGAATAGCAACTAAGTTTATTAATTGAGGGGCAGTGTGTCACATTTAGTGGGATAATCTTACTTGTATATTTAGCTCTGAAAGCAGCTTTACATGATAACCATAAGAAAAACATAATGATATCCCTGCAAAGCTAAATTAGGGAAAATATTTGATAAAAAGTAGGTCCACAAAGCTGGTATTCAGAAATAACTGTGTTCTCAGATATCATTAAAGTATACTGAAAAGATATCAGATGTTTCTAAAACACTTCTATTACCATGTATTTTTGCAAATGGTGGTTATGACAATATTTAATTGGCATTTAGTGTATTTATTAGCCGATCTGGTGTGTGTCTGCAAACATGGTAATGTGCTTGGGATTGGGGGAATGGAATATGACAGGTTGCTAATATATATATAATCAAAGTTTGCAAAAATTATCCTCTCATCTATATTTGTATTTCTATATGCTTAATAATTGGGGATATTCTGTGATTTTATATAATGCAAGCCAACTTCTTTCTTATTCCTTAACCCCATGTTACTACTTTATTTTGCTCACCCCATATGTTGGAGGATGTGGAAGCTTTATGCACTCTTACATATACTGAGTTTTCCGCACTGCATCAGAATCGCACCCTGTTCATGCAAACTACTGCGCGTTGTGCATGTTAAGTTAACAACCCCCCCGAAAGCGGTCTGCATAATGTGGTGCGATGTGAAGAATCGGATTGCATAGGTGTGAATACCTATGGAATCTAATTCTAGTGCAGACCCAAAAAAGGGTCCTGCATATTTTTGGTGCGGATGCAGTGCGAATAGAGCCATACAATATATGGCTCCGATCGCACCACACACAAACCACATGTGATTTACACAGGAATGCGGTGCGGTTCCTGTGCAAATCACATGTGATATACGGAGCCGCACGTATCTGAACCCAGGCTTAGTCTAGTTGAGGGGGTTCTCTTACTATGCAAGATTATTTATAATACAGTCACACACTAAGCAAGGCAACATGAAAACAGACAGGACCCTGACTACACTAGTTGTTCATTACTGAGCTTGCATTGACTAAAAAGTAATGCTGAGCTAACTATTCCATTACCTTGTAGGAAATCTGGTTCTGAAAGCAATAACTTTCATTCTGCTTTAACAAGTTAACTCTATTCTGACCCTTTTAGTTCCTATTTTCAATCTTTCTGGTATTGGTATTGCTTTAACCTGCATGCTAGGTAATGAAAATGGAGGCTAAGATTCAGACTTATATAGCTACATTAACCTCTGTGCAGCGAACTCAGGTACAGGGGCGGACTGACCATTTGGAAACTCGGGCAATGCCCGAGGGCCCGGGGTCAGTAGGGAGCCCCATGAGATGCCCCTGGTACCTTTTTAATAGGCTTTTTTGAGTTTGGGCAAGGACACAGGGGCCCCATGATCCCCTATTGCCCGGGGGCCCCATGAATTGTCAGTCCGCCCCTGGTCAGGTACATATTAGAATTAGAGAGAGCTAGCCCTGACTCAGCAGGGAAGCATGTCTGACCTCTGCAGAAAGACTACTGCTTCCAGAGAGCAGGGATAGGGATACTTCTATGCATCATTCTGTCAGAGTACAGGGTTTTTTACCAAGACAATGGCCCCCTTCACACATTCATACTGCATGAAAGTGTGTTGCATTAAGGCAGCCCATTTATTTTTAATAAGATGCTAACACACCAGCATAGACAAAAAAGAAAAAAAAAAAAACAAACATGCACAGGCTTTCCCAACACAGCTCACTACAATGCGTGGTGGTGCATTACTGAGACTGATGTCATAAAGGAGCTGAGGATATTCACACAATAAATTGCATTAGGATTTACAGTACTTCAGTTTTCCAATCATGTGAAAAGTGAATACCTACTTATCTGTATATGTCTGTGTAATCTGGACTGTAGCTGATAACTGCTGTGGAACTTCTTCATTTGTTGCTGCTGTATTATCTTTCTGCAGTGTGGACAGGATTAAACTGAATTTTTATTAATGCATAGGTGCAGCAGCCATCTTTAAGTAGACCACTTTGCAATGTTTGCCTATGGAGTGTCTTCAGTGCAGGAAGCAGCAATCTTGGCTGGGTCTGGAGTAGCCTTGGGGATAGTGCTTGGCTGATGCAGCAGGTGAAGGGTGGTCTGCAAAATGCTGGGGGAAAGGCACTATTGGGACCATGTGTTTCCTGTGGTGAGCAGCTGAACTAGAGCACCACAAGGTTGCAGTGAAGGAGGAACAGTGAGTTTTGCTGGAGTGATCTGATACTGTGCTGGCCAGGAGAACAGTGCTAATCAGAGACTACTGCTACCATCATACTCTGTGCAATACTACATGACAATGCTAAAGACACATTAAACTTACCAGGGTTGCAACTGTTAAACACTCCTTTGGGTTTAAAGCCATTTCACTTAATGTCCACATTCTTCTACATCCCACAAAGCTTCTTGTTTAGATTCTGGGATAAGTACATCTTCTGTTGTACTTTCAGGCTACTCAAATGTAAGTGCTACAGGTCTCATAGACCCCAGCATGGAGGTCATGTCTCCTCCCTCTCCTTCAGGCCGTTAACAAAACCGACATCCCCAAGTGGTGACACAATCTCAGTGATAGGTTTTACAAAAGATGTAGCACATACATCTGAGGTCCTGGAAGTATAGAAGGGTTTTGCTAATTGCAGAATCTAATTAAACAGCTTTGCAGGTTATAGAAGAAAGTGTACATGAGGGGAGGTGGCTTTTGAGGCAAAGGAGTGTTTAACAGCTTTAACCCTGGTAAACATATAGGGGGAGATTTATTAAACCGGTGCTCTGAGAATCTGGTACAGCTGTGCATGGTAGCCAATCCACTTCTAACTTCAGCTTGTTCAGTTGAGCTTTGACAATAGAACCTGGCAGGGCTTTTTTTCTCAGAGGAAAGGTGGTGGAACTCCCCCACCCAAACCTGGCCACGCCCCCATCAAACCCTAGGACCACCCCTTTAGAGAACAGGAATGCAAGTAAAATTTGGGAGGGGCTATAAAAGTAAATGTATGGAATTAACACCGCCCCCCCCCCCACATTAGTAAGAATAGCGAGTAACACTGCCCCCCCCACATTAGCAAGAAAAGCGAGAAAAATTGTATCGCCGCTCCTTACCTGATGCTGACGATCCGCGCTATGGTAGGATCGACGAGCAGAGGGCGTGATGACGTCAGCGCGCACCGCCGGGTGTACTAAGATACACCTTTCCTATGGGGGTGGCCGCGCGCCCCCGATGTTTACACGCTGGCGGTAGAGGGGGGGGGGTGAAGCGTGCATGTCCCCGCTCACCGGCTGTGAGCAGCGGCAGTGACAGGTGCCGGGCACGCGCAAGCATGACATAAACAAGCCGCGTCCGGCACCTGTCACTTTCGCTGCTCTGCATAGCTTGTCAGCTCTGCAGAGGCAGTCTGAGCGGGGACAAGAAGAAAAAGGTGGCGGAACGCAGTACCGCCGCGTTCCGGCAGAAAGAAAGCCCTGGAACCTGGAAGCTGATTGGTTTCCATGTAGAGCTGCACCAGATTTTTGCACTCTCCAGTTTTAGTAAATAACCCCCATAGTGTCCAGAATTGAGTTTTAATAAAATGATATGCATCCACAGACAAAGCTGTAATGTGGTAAACTAGTACTACTGGGAAATGAACACTTTCTAGTGTTTCCATACGTGGAATAAAGAAGGAAATTCTTCATTTATGAATTGTGTTATAAAGGGAAATATACTTGTTACTTATAGCAATGAAACTGATTTATAAATTTATTTTCAGATTTGAACTGTAAAACCTAGGCTGGTTTTATTGTCATGGAAAATAAATGTTTTTCTTTAAGACACTTTTCACTCATGAAAAATGAGAGGGATTTAATACAGTATGGCACTGCAGTATAACAGAGGCTAAAGGCTGTGGATACAGTCCATGCTGTCTTACTCAACCCTATTTCAGTAAACTTAAATGGAGAAGAAAATGACAGCCAGAAAGAAGAGAATGTGTAATTCAAACCACAGTCCTGCTTTATTGCCATGTGTTAAAGAGCATAAAGAAAGCTAGTGGTGTGTGAAAAATGCTGTGTCTGCAGAGAGCCTCTGCCACTGATAACAGCTAGAAATGTCTTTGGTTTGTAAGCCTATTGTGTACCTGACTTCACTGCATAAAGACTAATGTAGCTGTTGGAGTCTGATTCTTAGACTCTTAGCCTATTTTCAATACTTGACATCCAGGTTTAAGCTCTTAAACTACCTGAAAAAAAACTGAAAAAAACATCTAGCAGTGTCTGCATGTACAATGATAGCTTCAGAGCTTTCTGTGACCCCCTGAGACTTTTGGGTTTTCTGTTACGCAAATAATGAATTTGGATCTTGAATGTGCACTCTAGCCCAGCTCCTCCTATATGCTGCTTTGGTCAGTGAGACCACCTACCAAAGATATGAATCAAATGTAAAAAGCAGGAGATGGCTGGCCAGAGCATAGTATCTAATACAGGGGCGGACTGACTATTCGGAAACTCGGGCACTGCCTGAGGGCCTGGGGTCAGTAGGGGGCCCCATGAGATGCCCCTGGTACCTTTTTCATAGGCTTTTTTGAGTTTGGGCAAGGACACAGGGGCCCCATGATCTCCTATTGCCCGGGGGCACCATAAGTTGTCAGTCCGCTCCTGATCTAATACTCATATAATATATGTAGCACCTCAAGTTAAGACTTTCAGGTTGATCTGTAAGTTAACTAAATGTACGTCCAGAGCCTTTTTTTAGCCTTACAGGGGTTTAAGCATTTTCTGAAATCATTCCATTTTCAGGCTGTTTCTGCACAATTATTCTCCATATACTTCCATGGAGAGTGCTCTCAAGTGTCTCCCATATTGTGAGACATCCCTATAGAAGTCTGTGAGGATCACCTTCACAGGTATAGCCAACAGAAAAGATTCTAGCTGCAGGATGTGAAGATTGCAGTTGATTTTGGCCTTAGGGTTCAGATAAGTATACATCTGGGCAGCAGAATTGTGTGTTACTTTTGTTCAGGGAAGCTAGGCAGGAAGAGTGACTGTATTTTCTGTGAAAGTACAGCTAAAACTGAAACTTCACACAGTGGTTTACATTAAGCCTGCTTTTCCATCAACATACATTGGTAAAAACTAATATTAAAAAGTGGTATTCAAGTAGTATGAAGGCATTCAAAGTCCAACTCCAGCTAAAAGCTTTTTATTTCTTTCATTAGGTAAAATAGGAAAGGCTTAGATCCATTTTTGGCTTTTTGTGCTGTATGTAGACCTACTAGAAAAAAAATCCTTTACTTCATGTTAGGAGATTTCTTTCACTTCCTGTCAAGGTAAGAAGTTATGGAAATCTCAACAGTTGCATGGACAAAAGGCAAAATCATTTTTAGTAAAGAAAGAAAGGGTTAAAACTTTTAACAATGTGTTTACTTCTCTCTGGGCATTCCTTTTTCAGTGACAACTGAACCCATTATTTATTGCATGAACATGACAGGGACAGGAAGTAAAGAAAAATATATTAAATGAGGTCAGATTTGATATTCTCACTGGTTTGCATTCTCAGTTTTTTCCTTTGGAGAGTTTACCGGTGGATTCTGGACACCCCACTTTTATCACTGGTCCCTAGTGCTACTTTCTTTTCAGGATCTTGTCTCTACCAAGATCATGGACAGCAATAAAGTTTGGTGAGAAGCAAACCTTGATTCACTCCACTAAATACTATTAAAGAGTTCTGAGTGAAGGTCTTCCATTAAGTATTGTTTGTAATATAAGTAGTATAAATAAGCAGCAGGCGAATAGCTCCCGAATGCAGCTAAAACAATGCACTGCGACTCAGGTGCGTTGTTAGAAAAAAATGTTCAATGCATGACTTTAGGTGCATTGCAGTCCATTCAAATTGAATAACCTTCTTAACCAAATACATGTAAAACATTTAATAATGCATATATACCAATCATGCATTAAGGCACTAATGTAAACCAGTCCTTATTGTTTTCATCCTGCTGCTGGCATTGCTGTTACTATCATAATCTCAACTTTGTAAAGAGTCAAAAACATTTGCTCAAGAAAGCTGTATACAGCAGTGTTTCTCAACCTTTTTCAGTCAAGGCACCCTTTAAAATTATAGACAGTCCCGAGGCTCCCTTTAAAATTATAAATAGTCTTGAGGCACCCCATTCTAAAGTGTGAAAAATATTCTAATAGTTTTATGTAATGCAGCAACATCCACACAGGTAGGACACCCAACATGTGAGGTGATTTATTTTTCCAAATCACACTTTTGCACACTGATACTGACTAGTATTCCAATGTTTCACTTAGTTTTTCTCCATCACTGAGCTAATGTGACCCCAGCACTGATGGAGAGGGGCAGGGGAGGGTCAAACTAGGATGCTGTGCAGGCAGCTGACAACCTCTGTTAGAGACCAGCCGGTGGTAGCCTCTAGCGGCCCACAGACCAGAATTCCCCAGGGCGTGGAATCTAAGTTCCGACCTGCTTGTTCACCAGAGCCCCTGATGGTGGGGATGGACTTGGAGCAAGCCGAGACCAGGTCGCGGCCCCTGGGTGCAACCAGCTGTGGAAGAGGCACCTGTCGGTGGTACGCAGCAGGTGAGAGTCTGATGTGAGGAGGTAGAGTAAGCGAGGTCAGACAGGCCAGGTCGGTAACAGCGGAGCAGGTCGGTACAAAACAGCAGGCAGAAGAATAAACGGGTCACGGTCCGGGTTTGGCAACAGGAGATCAAAAGTGCAGGAGCAGGCAGGAGAATGGTCAGGCAAGCCAGGGGTCAGAGCAGGAGAAGTCAGCAGATCAGGATCAGGCAGGGTCAGCAGCAAAGTAAACTCACAGGAACACAGGAAAGACCATACGCCACATGAGCATTGCAAGAGTTGGGTTTATATAGCCAGCCCAACTCCTGACAGGCGTTCCTGGATCCTAATGCTTGCCTGGTGCCGTCATTGGTGACAGGCGCGTCTGGGTCCTAGTGCCCGCCTGCCTGTACATTTTGTCAGGACTCTACGCATGTGCGGATTCGATCGCCACAGAGATCTTCCCATTCCCTGACAACCTCCTTATCAACTGATGATGTCATTGGTTGTCAGGACACCGGCAGTTAGGAGGTCGTAATGGCGCAAGAAAACCTTGGTTTGTATACAGGTTTTGGTCAATTTTTAGACATTTTGCCAAAGCACCCCTGAAGAAACTTCAAGGCACCCTGGTTGAGAAAGGCTAGTATACAGTGAAACAGAGGTATACAAAAATCAAAGAGGAACAAGGAAAGCACATTGTATCATGATGATCACAGTCAACAATATGCAAAGAAGCAATTACGATAAAGAGAAATGTATGTAATATAGCAGTAGCATATTTCCTATCAATCAAGGTCAATTTTGGAAAACAACCAAAATAAAATAACTGAACACATGAGCAATAGTGAGCTTAGGCAAATCCAACTAACTGGCGGCTAAGTAAGAGAGGAGTTAGAAGCCCCATAGCGTAGACCAGAGTTAGGCATATATATTGGACACAATATATTGGCATATCACAGCAATATGAGTGCCGGGAAGAGGTGAGCAGTAAATAAAAAAACAATAAAACGGGAAGGGAGGAAGAGGAAGCAGAAAAAGAGAAGAAAAAAAAAGAGAGAAAATAGAGAGAAAAGAAAAATGGAAGAAAAGGAAAAGGGGCCCCAGGGGGTAGGATCGTCTTGGAAGCCCTAAACTTGATTCCAAGTAGCTGTGTGCTGCACAAATATTAGGGAAGCAATAATGTTTCAAAATCAGTTGGCAAATAGTGTGTACCCAAGGATTTCAAAGTTTCTCATACTTACCCTGTCCAAAAGGATAAATCCTTTATATTCTTTTATTACAGGTTTGTTTTAAGGGCCAAAACATTCTGTCCTCAATACAATTAATAACATAATTGGAATACTTTAAGCAACTGCACTTGATATAATCCAAATAAAAATGCTAAGCTACATTAAATATTCATAGCATGAACATTTTGCTAATAGAAGAATGATTTATATGATTAAATAATACCAAAGAAAGTAAACTTTGCCTGGGCTGTTAACAATTATAACACTGAGACACACATTTTTACTCTCTGTGGCTGTTATGTCTAGTCCCCATGTTCCTCTCCGCCCATTGTGCAGCTACAAATTAGTCATTTGTTTGCCATCTTTTCATTAAATTAAAAATGGATGTTTCAGACAACACAGATGTATTGCAAGCAATCAGCATTTTCATTGTGAAATTTCAGCAAATGCAGTGTGGATTTTCTAAATTGCTTTTCAGTTAACTATTGCCAACAAAATATATTAAAATCTCTAAGTACTTATTGGTACAACAGGTAAGAAGATTATTGCCTCCGGGTACCAAAGAGATGAAAAAGGTCAAGAACAGGTCAGATCTAGAGAAAATACCAGTGAATAAAGGATTGAAATAATATGTACTGCCTATAATAAATGTTGTAGCCAAGTTTTTTAATAAAAATAGCAAAAAAAATACCCAATCATATCTGAAAGAGCAATATATCTATACATTTACAAATACATATGTATTATTGGTAGATAATTTAATAGAGATATTTATAAATATTTTTGAAACTGATATATTGATCTTAAATGTTTAAATGAGAATGTCTGAAACGATAAGCATATTAAAAAAAAGGTTTATACTTGCAAAATATATTCACAGATATTATTACAAATAAAGCAAAAGTAAACACACTCCACACTCATTAATACTTATGCCATTTTTATTTAAGTTGAGTGCAGCAAATAAATATCCATAAATATTTATGAGTAGTTTATTTTATTAAACTCTAAATTTACATTCAGAGATGGTTCACACTGGAGCCTATGACTTATGAAATCTCACATCTTTCACTTATTAGAGGTAATTGATTCAATAAAACATTGGCATAGTGAAGCTTTTTAAACCTGTCATAATATAGAATGTTACATTAAAATTTCCTCATAGGTATGCCTTCTAGTTTAAGAAAGGACATAGCGTGACAGTCAAAATTTGGTAGCGCAGTACTGGGAAATCTGGGGACATATCTTGTAAGATACAAGTTATAGTGTTTAATAGAGCTCATTATTCACGCAATGCTGATGTGATTTTTATAAAGTTGCCAATTTGCCAGTGAAAACTATCTTGGGGGAAAGGCATTAATATAATTATGTTTCATTACTAAAAATAGTATTGACATTAGGTCCACTGGCCAGGTTCATTATGATTAGAGTTATAAATCAAATGTAAGAAAAATTGCCAAATAAAAAATAAAGGAATCTTTACTCAGGACATATCATACCAATATTACTGACAGTGACAGTTTTTCTTTAGTCCACCCCAATGTTTACTCCCTATGATCTTTTGTATAACACGGTCACAGACCTTGTAATGCAGACGTAAAACCTCTGTTCTTACCTGCTGATGCTGTTGCTTCAAGGTCTCAAGTTTCTCCTTTTAGCATTCCCAAGCATCTAAAAGAAAAATTTGCTATTGCTCATAAAAAAAAGCCTGCTTTCAACTGCTATTCTTACACCATAAGTTGGAAATTAAATTGTTTGAAAAGAATCTTCTTAATGGGGCAAAGTCAGCTACTGTATAAAACATGGCAGTATTTTCATTCCCTCTCCACTCTAT